TGTCCCCCGGGCCCCGGCCGCTCCCGGGGTGGCCCTGCCGGAGCGCCCCCGGGTGGGTGTGGCGCGGGGCTGAACTGCTGCGGGGTAAGGGCTGCCCGGCCCCAGGGCCTGCTCCGTCCCTGTCCTAGGGCCCGGCCCCGGCTCCACTGCCGGACCCCTGCCTAGTGGCGTCCCCCCATTGGGGCCGTGCGCTTCCAAACACAAGCGCCCTGCCCGGCCCTCCGCCTCTCTTCCAAGCACCCCCGGGGCTGCCTGAACTTCTCCTTTCGTTAGTAGGAACGCTTCCTTCTCCTGGGGCGAAGAACGAGGAAACAAAACCCCACCACTGGGTCCGGTTCCTCCCTCCGGTTTTTAGAAAGAGACAGCTACGCTTCTGCTCGTGGCACATCGCCTCCCAGCACCTTCTGCCCTGGGTTCTCTCAGGTTGTTCATAGTCTTACATAGCATTTATGCTCACACATCAACAAAACGGGGAAAGGGAAATAAAATGGTGAGTCCGATATTTAAAATCTCCCCTCACTAAAGCACATTGCAAAACCCTCCATCCCCACAGAAAGGACTTCAGAAGTGCTTCATTAATCAGTGACTGCTCTGCTCTCTCCCCTCCAGAAAGCTAGCTCTCTAAGCCAAGGCCTCATCCTGTGGACTCCAGTCATGCAAAGAGATAAATATATGCTGACCTTTATTCACTATAAATATAGTCCCATATTGGCTTTGATAAGAGTCAGATGTCAATGCAACTTTTACAGTGCACCATGTTAAACATGACTTGCACTATTTGATCTTTATAGTGTAGAAAGGCCGTTATCCTGACCCATGAGTCCATTCATATGGGCCAGCTTGCAGCATACAGGAAAAGGGCAATAGAAGAGACATACTCTACAACCTAATAGTGTAAACAATTATATATGCCAGTAGTCCCACTGAACTCAATGCAGCTCTTCACAAACAAAGTTACTCTGTGTATTTTCAAAATTAGGGCCTATTTCTTTCTAAGGGACAATTCCTTTAACTTCAGATGGAGTAGCAAGCATGTAGTTGAAAGAAAAATTTGAAAAATACTCCTGAGAGTATTTTTGTTGGTCAATATAATATATAGCCCTTCCATAAACCAGTGTGACTTGTACTTGCTTCTAGGGGAGATCTTATGCCAGAGATTAATTTGGTCCATTCAGTTTGCAAATAGTGCAGTTATTCTGGCAATCACATTATCTCTTCTAGAACATATTGCATAGCTCTGTTGAGTATATTTAGACTCCTTAAGCTGAACTATATGAATGGACTCATGGATCAGGATCAAGGCCATTCTATGCTATAAACTAATAATTTTATTACCATGGTGTGTCTGGTACTTCTACAGGAGGGAGGGGACTATAATGGTTTTAAGATAATTTTAAAATTAATTATTTGATTTTAGCCCATAATGCTGTTAGTTCAGCTTTGTATTACATTTTAAACAAACTGTACCCCCAAATTCTTAACCAGTAATCCCAGAGAAGAAATTATAAGAGTAAATTGCCAATCCTGCAAACCCTTATACACAAATATCTTTATGGATGGTAGCAATCCCATGGAGTTTGGAATGTGATAAAAACAAAGCTGGCCCTATGAAGGCCCCAAGTCCCATTCATCTTACGTGGTCTGTGTAGCCAAATTCCCAACTACAGGCAGTCCCCGGGTTACGTACAAGATAGGGACTGTAGGTTTGTTCTTAAGTTGAATCTGTATGTAAGTCGGAACTGGCGTCCAGATTCAGCCGCTGCTGAAACTGATCAGCTTCAACAGTGGCTGAATCTGGGCGCCAGTTCTGACTTACATACAAATTCAACTTAAGAACCCCAGGCATCCCCAAGTCAGCTGCTGCTGAAACTGATCAGCGGCTGATTCCAGGAAGCCCGGGGCAGGGGCTTCCTGT